GTCGCAAAAAATATATATAATGGCATTCCTTTCTAAGTGTTAATAAGGGCTTGTAATTAAGCGAATTTTTATTCAAGAACGATTTTAAAAAATAGTAATTGTAGCATTTTTGCTCTAACTTCTCTCATAAGGGCTTAGTAAACTTTGAATTCATACTTTTAATAATTTCACGGCCTTAATTGAATGCCCTGATAACTGTTTCGATGATAGAAAGGTGAACTATCTCTGTTTATAGTTCCATAGAAGACTTCGCAAAAATTTAAAGAAAGTGGCTACATTATTTAACTTCTATCAATGAATAATTCCGTTCAGATAGAAATACCTCAGTGAACTAGAATGTCTCTTTGGTAAAGTTTTCTTATCACAGATAGTAAGTTACTTCCATTTCAAACAGCTCGATATTCACCTCCTCAAACCGGATTAAATAGGCACCTACTAATGATAATGCATTTGTTTTCCTATAGGAGGCTTACCCAAGGTTTGATAATGATAGACAAGTATTAGTAACTAACAGGCTTTTCAGAAAAACCATGGTCTTTTATCTCTGCTTACAAGGTTATCGCAAAGAATGGTTTGAAAGTTGATTCAATGACAAAGAAGATAATTTCTGCCCAAGAAATTTGTTAACTGGGTTGCTCAAAGTGACTGGAGTCAAAATTTTGTATTTTAATGCTTCACTATAAGGTTGCTAATGTGAAATAGTCACAATTAAGATTACAAGCCTACTTCGATCATATAATAAAGCTTTGCATTCCTAACTGTGCCCGATAGACTCGGAGTTGTTTTGCTATAGAAGAAGGTATCCCTCAAAGAGAAGTAAATATCGAAATCCATATCTGGTCCGTTTGAAAAATTGTTTTTGTGAGGTAGCTTTGAGTAAGCCATTAAGCTTTGAGGCAGAAGTTTAGCACAAAAATTGTGTTGCATTTCACCTAGAAATTTGTGGACTTCTTCTACAGACGGATTATATAACATTTTCATAAGAAAGTACATATATTTATTGGAACACGCTGTAGCATTTCTACTACATTTTGTC